CGTCACGGTGATCAGTAGAGAAAGCAATGCGGGGAATGTATTCTGAGCTGCACAATGACATCCTTTGTGATAATCTACAATCCTCCTGACAGGATCATAGTTTACTTTGCCAAACCACCCGATAACAATATTACAAAAGCACCTCTATAGCAAAGTGCACCAGTTATTTCTCTGTTAAAATGATGAAAATTGCTAAAAAGCAGGATTTACATGTTCCGATTTGTTCAGCATGTACCAGTACAAAAGCATGAATCAAACTACCAGAAACGGCCGCAATGCGAGGCAGTGATGGGGTTAAACATTCTAAAGGGGCACTCTGATGGAGCCAAGCAATGTAAGTGGGCACTCTGACAAATGCTGGAAATTAGAATGTTTGGCGTCACTGAAAATAGCCTGCTGTCCCGAGATAGGTGCATCAGCACTGTGTGTGTGCAAACATCATAAACGGCGGACCATGGTGGCGAAATGGTCTTACAGACTGTTATGTGTGGAGTGCAATGTTCACTGCATCTGCCTGTAAAACATGCTCCTCAGACATCCTTCAAGCTTAATTTGGTGGGCCTGTTTCTGAGGGAGACTGAGCCTTCAACAACAAGCCCTAAGGTCACATGACCTTACTGAACTTTACCTCAGATACAGTGAGGGGACTTGAAACTGCCACTGTCACTCTCATGAGGGAAGGGTGGCATTAAGACAGACTCCCCTCCTTTTCCCTCTCAAGGCTGTGACACACTGCAGGCGAAGCAAAGCGAAAAAATCGCAACCTTCCACTTCGCACCGCACCGCAGCTTGTCTACATTGTAGTTTTTCCGGGCACAGCGGAGCTCAGGATCGCCAGCAGCGGCGGCAACGGAGGGGCGCACAAATGCACGCATATTACAAGCGATCGGGCGTCTCTACAGACGTCTGAACGCTTGTATGTAAACAGCCATTGATGGCTGTTTACATGCAAAGCCGATCACCCACCCTCTGTCCGGCCGTTTAATTACAACGGCCGGACAGCAGGTGGTTAATTATTTAATTCATAAATATTCTTTGCTGATTTTTTGAAATATATTTCTATTATTTTAAACGGATTATTATTATTATTTCAATATTTAAAACATGAATATTTCATTAAATATTAAAAAAATATAAGACAGTGTCTTATTTTCGGGGAAACACGGTATGTATATATATATATATTATAGTATATGTATTTATTTCTTTAAAAAGTTAGATAACAGCTGGATAGAATAGCACTAGGCTCTGAATAGAACATACCACTCAAACTTCTCCTCAGGACTGGAAACAGAGAAGAACTGAGTAACAGAGGAGGGGTGAGATTCTGATTGGCTGGTCGCGTGTTGCCGCTTTGTGATGCTTTCAAGGAATCGTGCGCTGTGAGTGGCTGGAGATGAACTTTTTCACCTCTCGACGCTGCGCGTCGCATGCTGTCACCGGGCAGAGCAGGGGATCGGAAATCTCTAGACACACTGCTCGCGAAGGGCCGCGAGTCGCCGCTCGCCTGTGCGCCGCTTCGCCTGCAGTGTGTCACGGGCTTCAATCAGCATTCAGCCTACCTGGGCAACCAACCATTGCTACTGGCAAAAATGTCCCAAAATGTCAGAAATCCAGAAGAGGAGCATCTGTGCTTTATTTTAACTGTTCCTGAAGGTAAAGGAACTAGGTTTATGACAAGTTCCTGTATCTTTGCTCAGTGCTTCACGAGAAAAAGGCCTTTATCACCAGGTCTGACAGGGTGCTAAATCAAGGGCACTTTTTACAATACTTATCCAGTGATAAAGCTGTTCTCTACTTTTCTCCCTTTATTAAACAGGTACATTCCCATTACTTTCTGTGTACTTATCACCAGGATGAGAAGAGGTGAGATATTTCAGTTCCTACCTGACTTATCACGGGTTATTAAACACCATTTTATAGACTTTTCACTTTGCTAAGGTGAGAAAAGCCTCACTGCTTATCACACTCTTTCACAGTTTATTAAACGTACACCTATATCTGTAATAAACTCTCTCTCTCTCTTTCCTCCATCTACAGTATCTCTCTCCCCCCTTTTATCTCTCTCTCCTTCCCTCTCTCTGTATCTCTCCCATCCACTACAATGTGGAGTCTCCTCTTCTCCCAGTACAAATGTGGAATTTCCTCTTCTCCCACTACAATGTGGAGTCTCCTCTTCTCCCACTACAATGTAGAGTCTCCTCTTCTCATCTATAGAAGTGAAGTCCGGCATGAGAGATGAGAGCCTCTGGAAGTGAGTGTCCCTCACTGCTGAGTAATGGGGTGGGCACTGTAGCAGGAAGTGGACCTCATCCCCCAGTGTCCCCCTGGTCACAACACTGGCACATTGCACTCTCCCTGAGCTTGTAGGTCTGTCTGTGCCGCCCTGATTCGATTTCCAGTCTGTGGGCACTCAGGATTTGTCTGTCTTTTGGGTCTTGTAACATCTCCAGGTATGGGGCAAGTTTGTATTATCTCTGTAGTGACTGGTAAATATTTTCTGGGAGTATGTTATTTAATTTCTCCATTCTCTGATATAGTTTTCTTTCGAATAGTTCATTATGTCCTTTATTTGAGATTTTGTCAGGACACATTGATGGGTGCTTTGGTTGGGCAAGGTGGTGATGGACTGGGATGCTCCTTGTTGGCCAGTAGGACTTCATGTTGGTGAGTTGGGGCTGCTATTTTTTTAGGTCATCCCAGTGTAATAGCGCCCTGTTCTGTACTTCAAGAAATATAGGGAATCTGCCCAGCTCAGCCCGGCAAGCATTGTTAGGAGGTGCTCTGATGCACTTGCAGGAGGAGCTTGAAGAATTCCAGAAGACATTTTCTGTTTAGCTGAAGTCCCATTGAGGTTGGTTTGGGTAGGTGACAAAGCCCCATACTTCTCTACCACAAAGGAGGATTGGGATGATGATAAAGATTTTAAACCAGATTCTTGCAGGTGGTATAGCTATCTACTGATGGCATAGAAGGTTCTACATGCCTTGTCTCAGGGCCTCTATGGCTGGCTTGAAACTTCCTATTTGATTAATTTCTAGGCAGAGGTATGTAAAACTTTTTGATTCATCAGGAGTACAGTTGCTTAGTTTGAAGGAAGAACTCTTGATTTGTGTGGTCTTCCTTTTGAAAACCATGACCTTTGTTTTCTTTGGGTTGTTTGGTAGTGCCCATGCCACATTGTATTTCTTTAGCACGTCCAGGCTTTCTTGTAGGGCTCTTTCTTTTCCCTCCCCCATACATCTCTTTTTCTCTCCCTCTCTCTCCCTTCTTGCCTCTCTTTCTCTTCTTCACTATCTCTGTCTCCCTCCCTTCTCTATATCTCTCTCCCCATGCCTCGCCCTTTGTTCCTCTCTATCTCTCTGCTTCCTTTCCTACCTCTATCTCTTGCTCCCTTCCTTTCGGTCTCTCTCTCTTCCCCCTCTCTGTTTTCTACCTCTCTCTTTCTCTTAGTCTATCTGTCCTTCCATCTTTCTTCCCCTATCGCTCTATTTTCTCTCCCTCCCTCCATCTCACCTTCCCTCTACCCTCTATCTTCACTCTCTGACTTTCCTACTCTGTTTTTACACCTCACTCTTTCCATTCCTCTCTTCTCTCTTTTCCTCTCTATGTCTCTACCACCATCCCTACCTCTCTCTCTCATATAGGTAAGTAAGGCTTACCGTTTTGGGCACCGACTCAGATCCATCTTTGTTCCTGCACACGCGTGCTGCCGATCAGCCAAAGGATTCAGTCCATCAAGATCACCAGAAACTGTCCTGTCAGAAACAGTCAGACCACCACAGAAGCTCTGTGCTTAGTTCTACAACATGTTTGGAAGAACCTACCTGTTGAGTTCCTTCAAAATCTGTGTGCAATTGTAGCTAGAAGAAGGCAAAGGGTGGTCACACCAAATATTGATTTGATTTGGATTTCTCTTACGTTCATTTACTTTCCATTTTGTTAATTGATATAAATAAACTATTATCACTTTTATTTCTGAAAGAATTCTTACTTTACAGCATTTTTGCCTAAAACGTTTGAACAATACTATATATACCATATATATCAATATATGTTCTATCTCTTAAGAACTTTGTTGGAGAGATATCTGCATATTGTTCAATGTCTACACACCTTCTGTTATTACATGGGTTTCACTAAACATATTGTTCTTTTTATTTTATATTATGAATACAGGAGATGTTGGAACACACATGGGTTAGGAAAGACCCAACATTGCCAAAATATCCAAGAAATTTAACAACATGGCGGTTCCACCTTTATCTATAATATCATTGTTGTGACTGACAATTTGAGGCCAAACTCCTGACATCATTTTAGTTTCCAATATAGTGGGGAAGAGTTAAGATATGTGGCCCTTGTTAAATTACACAGATCAGTGATAGAAACCAAAGTATGAAAAATGTGTACTATACAATTTATTTCTGTTACATGATTGCAATTTAGCTTTCTTCTAAAACATCATCAAGCAATTCAATTTATGTTCATGGGTGCAACATTCTCAGTTCTATGTGTGAAAAGAAAAACACATCACAATGCTTTAAGTTTGCATGTGTGCATGAGAATGAAATGTTTTTAGTTAATACAACAATATGGAGTCAGTTGTATCTTGGAGACTATTCACCCCGACATTGAGTCCTGTATGGCCTTTCCAGAGATCGTATTTTGATGCGGCTTATCTCCTGTGTGAAGCGTTTAAAGCTGGATCATAGTTCATTTAGATTTAGCACATTTGTTACGTTGCTGGACTTTTCCTTGTCACATTCTCCATATGGATCCCCTCCTGTGAGAGATCTGTGGTGTCCGGTAAGGTTTCCTCTTTGTAAGAAGCACTTTCCACATGTTGTACTCTTAAATGGTTTCTGTGCTGTGTGAGTCTTCTGGCGTTTAGGAAGACTAAAAGTCTGTGAGAAACACTTCCCAACATTTAAATGGCTTTTTCCCCTGTGTGAATCTTCTGGTGTTCAGCAAGTGTAAGCTTATAAAAAAAGCACATGCCACATTCTGAACATATAAATGGTTTCTTCCCAGTGTGTATTCTCTGGTGTTTAGTAAGATTAGAATTTTCTGTGAAGCACTTCCCACATTCTGAACATTTATAAGGTTTCTCTCCTGTGTGAGTCTTCTGGTGTGCAACAAGTGAAGATTTAGAAAAGAAGCACTTGTTACATTCTAAACATTTAAATGGATCTTCTCCAGTGTGAGTCGTCTGGTGTACAGTAAGTAAAAACTTTTGAGAGAAGCACTCACCACATTCTGGACATTTAAATGGTTTCTCTCCTGTGTGAATCCTCTGGTGATTAATAAGACTATAATGTTCGTAGAAGCACTTGTCACATTCTGGACATTTAAATGGTTTCTCTCCTTTGTGGATCCACTGGTGCCTAGTGAGTCGAGAATGTGTGGAGAACCTCTTGTCACATTCTGAACATTTAAATGGTTTCACTCCTGTGTGGATCCTCAGATGTTCAGCAAGTCGGGAATTGCATGAGAAGCACTTGTGACATTCTGAACATTTATATGGTGTCTCTCCTATGTGGATCCTCTGGTGTTTGGCAAGACTAGAACTTAGTGAGAAGCAGTTGCCACATTCTGAACATTCAAATGGTTTCTCTCCTGTGTGAATCCTCTGGTGACTAGAAAGACTAGAACTTCGTGAGAAGCACTTGCCACATTCGGAACATTTAAATGGTTTCTCTCCTGTGTGAATCTTCAGGTGACTAGAAAGACTCGAATTATTTGAGAAGTACTTGGGACATTCTGAACATTTAAGTAACTTCTCCCCGGTGTGAATCCTCAGATGAATATTGAGTTTTGACTTACGGGTAAAACTCTTCTGGCACAAGAAACATTGGTGCAGCTTCTCTGTAACTTTGTTCATTGTGTGTCTTCGTTTAGTGGTGATTTTTTTCCGCAGTAGATGTTGAATGGCTAATTCAGGTCATTAATTACCTATATGAAAAGTAAAAATAAATGTTTACGCACAATCTCAATACAAACAACAGACTGAGGTCAGATATTGAGTTTTGAAAGTTTAGAAATGTAAGAATTCCTCACTGCTCACAGCAGATTTGCTGTATGTAATAAATATCCATAACTCTGGCAGAGTAGAGATATATGACTTTACTGTTTTTTAGACAAAAATCCAAAGTGTACACCTATAGTTTATCATTATAGTGACCTCAGTTATCTTCTTATACTCTTCTTATAATGACTATACATGATGAGTCCGTGTGATCCAAATATATTTTCCCTTACGGGCCTGTTCCCACTATCCAGTTAATTCAGGGCAAGCTTCCTTTCCATGAACACACTAGATCACATAAACAAACCCTCCCTGCATTCTGCGGTGGAAGGGGACATTATGGTGCCATTCATTCCAATGGCACTGAAGACACGCCTCCCACCCGCACCGACACATGTGGTGCACCTATGCCTTGTGTTTCAGTGCGGTGCGATCACAAAAAAATCGTGCATGCAATATTTATTTTACGTGGGCAGGGTTTGTGTATGCGATCTAAGCAAGAAAACATGAGACAAGACGGCTTCCCAGCCAATCAGGAAGCCGTTCAATGCTTCTCGTCACTATGTGACGAAGGAGCATGGAGCCGGCTTCCCAGCCAATCAGGAAACCGGGCAGGGTGTAATGACGCACTGCCCGGCTTCCTGATATAGGAAGTATCGGGCTAGGCATTGGAGCATTTAGGCGAGTACTCGAAGCATTTAGCCCCAGCCCAATACTCGGTATCAGCACTGATATCAATACTAGTATCGGTATCGGTGTATCCCTAGTTAGAACACCTGCTGGTGAAATATGAGGGGTTAATCTGTGCATGGGAACCATGCTGCTCATGGAAGTGTCCATGTTAATGCTGCAGTCATTGTGCCCAGGCCAGACAGAATGCCCCGCCTCTCTTATAGTCATCCCTGCTCATTTGTCAAGGGGAGGCATCGGCTGCACAACCCCATAAGGTGTGGAATCAGTCTGTCGCCTCGTGCAGAGAGCACAGGGAAGCTGAGGAGACCTGGGCATGCGGAGAAGGCTTGGGAGCTGGCGTACCGGCAGCTCTGCTATTACTAGCCGGCACATGCACTGTAGTTGCTCCTGTAGCCTCATACAATGCATGCACCGCATTCAGGCAGCGGGCAGGTGGAGGGGAGAGCGGCGGGGGCTACGTGTGGGGGACTGTGCAGCACACAACAGAAAATGCACTCTGTATCAGTAGCTCACAGACTGGATCACAGAACTCAAGTGGTGCTCTGCCTATACACTCCTACCACTTCCTCTATATCACAATGCCTCATGGGATATGTAGTCAGCTTTCTCTGCCAGGATATGTCACACACTGGTTATCTAGACCCTCCCTCTGGCTGCAGGAAGGACTGATCTGTACATAGGAGGATGTGACATCACTGCCAGCTAGAAATAAGGATTACAAGAAAAGTAAGAACAGGGAGACCTTTGGTTTATTTCAATTTCTAGTGGGTTCCCGCTTTCCCCTCTCTCCCTCCACGGGTGATGCCAGCAGCTAAGCAGCTGCTATGGAGGCACCCGTACATGTGTGTTCCAGCAGTGGCTGTGTGGGTCCATAGACATACACAGCCCTGCCGCGGGCCATACCCCTCCTCTTTGCCCCACAGGTTGATTGACGGCAGAAGGAGCCTATGTCTCCTCCGCCCTCAATCTCCTTCCCCAGAATCAGGACGGAGGTTCGCTGTGGAGACCAGCAGCAGTGACAGGTAAGTATGGGGGGGGACAGGGGAGTCAGAAAGGTACGGGGCGTTATGTACCTTAATGCAGGGAATGCATGAAGGTAAAATATGCCCAGACCTTAATACTACTTTCACTTTAGCCTCCAAACTGGTTAAGGTAATTTGGTTGCATTTGGCTGTAGATGGTCTGAATTGCAAGAAGTAGGGATGCACCAAAATTTCAGGTGCCGAAAAAACAAATCAGGCGAAAATGGTACTTTGGGCAAAATGCCAAAAGTACAATTTTTTGGCTGAAATTGCGGTGCATTTATAGTTTCTCTCCTCCTTGCTGGGTGCTGCTTTTGGCTGTTATAGCGTAGCAGCTTTATCATGGCTTGAAGAGAACCCTGCATCCAAAAATGGAGCCATTCACCACTGTGCCTTTAAGGATCGGTGCTGGCCATGGAGCTGGAGAGATCTGCAATCAATAAAGCCCATGTTCTGACACTACCCGTCAGAACTTGTTAGATACTCGCAACAATGCTGTACATATGGCAGTCACATACTCACTTGTGAGGGAATTAAAGGGTTATAACACAACAGGCAGAAGAGAAGCCTGCAAATGGAGCAACACATTCCATAGGGCCCCATATTAAAGTAGTATTAAAGTCACTTTTATTTTCACATATATTTACTGTTGGCAAGCAGTAGATATATGCAAACACATTAAAAAAAGTTACTAAATAGATAAAAACTTACCTGTGTCTCCGCCGCTCGCTCCCGTCTGAAGATCAGAAGATTCTCGAGTGGCCGTGCCGGATCATGGGACGGGTGCATGCGCAGTAGAGATCTTAGGCAGGAAGAAGAGGAGAGGCTCAATGTAACTCAATGCACGCAGCCTGAAGCGTGCACATTGGACAGACACCGAAGACGCAGCAGTCAGAGCTGGATCAGAGACCGGTACCAGCCCTGGAGGGACTCCTGAAAACTACTAGAAGATGATGAGATCAAGAGGCATCATTTAAGGTAAGTCCTTAAAGCAGTATGGGGGGGGGGGGGGATGATGGGGGGGGGGGGGGGGATTGTGACTTTAATGTCACTTTAAGCATTAACAGCATTGTGGAACTACAGGTGGCAGCAACATACCCACCTTTATGGCACCATAAGGGTTAATGCACAAGAGACAGACTGAAAGACTGCAAATAATAAAAACCAACACAACCAAACCGACAGAGTTTGCAAACAAAAAAAACAACACATTTCTGTAAGATCCAGCTTAGGCATTAACAGCAGAGCAATGGGTGCAGCTAGGGTCATCGCTTTAATGAGGCAGCCTAAGGCTGTGGCCTCAAATGGCATCTCTTTGGGTCACATGGGGGGGGCAGCGGGTAGAGTGGCATGGCCACTCTGCTGCACAATGTTTGAAGTGTGGCTGCCATCCCCTTTTCTGGCCAGAGCATCCCAGGCTGCTAAGAGCCGGATCGGAAAAATGTGTAAGGGCCAAAAATATCTCCTCCCCCAGCTCTTAACAAGCTGGGATGCTCTGGCCAGAGTCCCACCGAGCTCCTGGTAACCAGTGAAGTCACTGATTGCCAGGAGCTGAGCGGGTCACTCTGGCCATCATCCAGCCCTACTCTTGGCAGCTAGTGACATCAATGGTTACCAGGCGCCAAGCGGGACTACTCTGTCCGGTGATCTAACCAGCTCCTGGCAACTAGTGACATCAGTGAGCTTGGAGGGATGCCAGCCAGAGATGGGTGGTCAGATGATCCACCTTCTCGTCTCCAAAAAAGATCCAGCCAGAGCAAGCACCACTGCAGAGCCACAGGACGTATTAGCACATTCACAAATGACCTGCAAGGAAGAGGATCCCCCGGTGTCATCTCGCCCATGTGTGTCACATCATTCCAGTACAAGCGCAGTTTTCTGATGATGAGGCTCAATCATAGTCCCGCCACAGTCACAAGGCCAGGAAGCATCTTGGCCGCCATGATGGAGGAGACATCTGAACAAGAGGGGACCCCAAGAAACCAAATTCTGCACCTCAAACTTTGTAGATATAGGGGAGGCTTCCCTCCTAAGGTGAGTTTAGCAACCGGAACTTAGGGATCTACAGGAGAGGCTGAACCTGTGCGGCAGGCCGGAGGAAACCGTTCGAGCACTCACAGGTCTTGTAGCAGGAGAAATTACAGTAAACAATAAAAGTTTATGATGGAGATTAAAGGATTACTTCACCTTTATTACTCTAAACCAGGGGAAGCCAAACCTCGGCCCTCCGGCTGTGGTGGAACTACAAATCCCACAACACACTGCCTCTGGAAGTGATGACTGTAGCTAGTTGAGTCCTGCAATGCCTCATGAGACTTGTAGTTCTACAAAAGCGAGAGGGATAAAGTTTGGTTACCCCTCAGTCTACACCTCATTGCAGCAGCTCTTACGTCTAATATTCATGTCCATATTTATTTCTCTGACATATGTACGTACCCCGGTGTTCAGATCTCCTGCGTGTTCTGGCTCTTCTTACAAATGCAGCTGCAGAGCTTCTCCTTCCTGCTTCCGGCATCCACGTCACCCGAGACTGTAGTTTAGAGTCCTGATAGGAGACTAAGAGTCCCAGAATCCAATGCACAGGGGGAGGGGGGAGAGTGTGTTCATGGGAGCTTCTCTCTGTGAGGAGAAGACGAGGTAATACGGCTTCCTCCTTCCTGCTGCTGTGACAGGGGGAGGGGAGCCTGAGGACACACATGTCTGGATTTACCTCATCTCATCTTCAGCACAACAACCTCACTCGTCTCACATCATAACCATGATAAGAACGCTGATTATTACAGACATAGAACTCTGCAATGTAGAACATTTATGGTGGAAACATGTATAAGTACAAAGAAAATAAAACCATATTGTCATTGTGTGCAGCGTTATATAGGACAAGACACTGTCTGTTATCAGATATATAAAACTCCAAAATAGGTTTCACTCTCCTTCCCTCTCTCCCTGCCTCTCATTCTGGGGGAAATTATGAAAACTGGAGCAGACAGGATTTGGAGCAGTTGCCCCTGGCAACCAATCAGCGCCTCTCTTCAG